AAAATAGTTTTGAAAATTATTTGCAACAGTATTTTGAAATAAAATAATTTCAAAAAAATATTTTTTTTAAATAAACATATTATCTATATGAATATTCTAACCATGAATCATTTCTTATATCTTAAATCACTAGATATAGTTTTAATATATGATATAAAATGAAATAAAAGGAATATTTAACTTATATATAAAATATAATAAATTTAATATAATTTAAATTAAAATTATACGATAAAAATGATAATAACAGAAATTAGAATGCTAATAATATTATATTAAATAATTTATATTTTATAATTTAATTATAAGCTGTATTACTAAATTGTGTACATAAATTACATTATACACAATCACATGTTATTAATATTTTGTATAAAATATTTGAATAAATTGAAAATAATCTTTGAAATAATTTAGTGAAATGGCCAACCTGCATTCTACCAACCTATATTAAGATTTATTATATAGTACATATTTTTCTTTATTTTCAGAAAGTAAGTACAAAAATCACTACGGGCACGGATAAACGCCATTATAAGTACAAGTAAGTTACATAAAGGGAGAAAATGTCGTTCCATCGATTTAGTGCTTTTACTGGTCGTTTAAAACAATCCACCCAATTACAAGCTCTTTATCCTTTAGTGAGTAATTAACAATAAAAATTAAACAAAATCCTTAGTAGAATTGAAACTCAAATGTTTCATTTTAGTAAAATTTAATATAGAGAATATATTATTTTTTCTATCATATGTTTTGATGGAATTTTAAACGTTAAATAATGACATAATATATTTATATAATATATATAACAAAAGTTTGAAAATATTATATGAAAATTTTAAGTATAAATTAAATACTTTGCAAATACTTCTATATTGTATATTATGTGATTTATAGATATTATTGTATAATATTATATAAAATATATTTAATAATTAATATTTATGTTATAGTCTCCAAAACCATTAGAAAAAATAGAAGCACCAAAAATGATGTTTGATTCTATCAAAACTAAGGTAGCATCTACATCTAATTTCTCTAGACATCATTCTACAATACCTCCAAAAATGAAAAAATTACAGCAAGAATGGCAGGTATGTATAATATATATTTTTTTAACAAAATTATATTAATAAAATAAAGATAATAAATCATAAATTATATATTTAATTATAGGCTGATTTATCAAAACCAACCTTTCTTTTACGAGGCACATCAGATCTGATACTTTATCGTTTTACCATTGTAACAACTGTACTTGGTTTTATTATTAATTTATATTATATAAATGAACTTCGATTGAAATTTCGATAAAATGTTTCCATGTTTAATATAGAAATATATAGGAATAATATATATTGTAAAAAATACATTATTATTTTATAGTAATTATATCCTGAAGTCATATTATAAATAAATAATTAAGTGTATTTATTAATCATATCCTATCCTTAAATTTTTTATATATATAATATAATATATATATAGTATAATAATTCAAATTGTTATTTATACAAAACAATTTTAAAACTTTACTACATCTTTTATTGTAAGTATTTAATTCTAAGTATATATTATTAACCATCGATTATTACAAATGATATACAAAATAATATTTAGATTATTATGAATAATATATTTATATATGAGTTGGATTAAAAATTTTTTATTGCAATATAAAGAAAATAATTTCAATTTGTAAGATTTTTTTTTAATTATTACCTAAAAATAAATTTAAATATAATGCTATTAAGGAGATATTTATTTGTACATATTACATAATATAATTGTATAATATATAATTATAAATATCAATATTTTAATATAAAGAAAACATATATTTGTAATATAAAAAAAATATCGATTTAAAATTTTAAAATTTTAATAATTTAAGCAAAAAAATTAATCGCATGCTGAAAACGATCTTTTGAGGATATAAATTTTGCAGCATAAATATAGATAAAAAAAAAATAATAATAAGAAAAAGATGAAGATAGAATAAAAATATTGAAATCAGGAGTATTTTCAAAGTGTCGCAAATAAAACTTGTAAAAAGAATGGAAAATAGAGAGAAGGATAGAAATTATAACATAAGAATTCTTAATATGCCATTTTTGAATGTTGAAAATATTTCTTCAAATAAAATAAAATAGAATAGATAATTTTAAAAGAACTTTAATAATCAATTCTTATTTTTTCTCTATTTTTCTCCTATAATTTTCTTTTTTTATCCAACTTTCTTATCTTAGTTTTATTTGCGGCATCCTAGAGATGGCGTTGATTTCTCAAATTTTTATTTTTCTCCCACTATTTGCTCTCCTTGTCTTACTCTTGACGCGTCTTGATTAGTGACAAATTTTGCATATTGTCTATGATTGATTGAATCTCGTGATTATATGAAATGTCATTGATACGGAAAGAATTTTAAAAAAATTATTAATATTAAAAAAAAAGTTTAATATTTATAAATCAATAAAAATGGATGAAAATATTCCAACTGTAGTATTTCATCCTATTATTTCTTCTATACAAAAGATCGCTCTTTATGAAACAAAATCTGTAAGATTGTTTTATAAATATTTTATAAGTAAATATTTTAAATATTTTTAAAAATAAATATATAATATTTATGTACATTTCAGAGATTTTATTTAATGGGATCAAATAATACTTTAACACGGTTTCGAGTATTGAAAATAGATCGTATGGAATCTAAAGAATTAGTCGTTGTAGATGATAAAAGAGAATATACTCAAGATGAAATAAAGGATCTCGTAAATATGATAGATATGGGTAATCGTACACGTGCTGGACAAAGAAATAATGTTGGTGGAGTTGCCAGAATTGTTTCAGCTTTTGGAATTGTTGGTAAGTAGTATTTAGTTTAACTATTAACTTTTTCATATAAAATTTCAATGCACATATTTGCTTTTCCACAATATTAAAAATTTTTATATTTTATAATAATTATGAATATCATATAATTATATAAAATATAAAAAAAATAATATAATTTTTACACATATATTGATACTTTGTATTTCTTATTAGTATACAATTATATTGCAATGCTAATATAATTTAAGTTTTTTTATATTGCATGATTTATTTTTTTGGCTATGCATGTTGATTGTATTCTAATATTAGACATACAAAATAATATATATATATATGTAGTAATACTGGAATAAAACTATTGCTGAAACATTATATAAGACTTAGTTTCTATATACATATTTGCTTGCTAACAAAGGCAGCATTCACAAAGAATCTACAACTGACAATGGTGTATCAAAAGAATCTGAACACCAAGAATGTCAGAAACCATTGCATAAACCAACTCAAACTAAATTCACCTGGAAAACAATGTGGCAGAGAGACATTTTTTCCTCGTCTAATACCAGCTTTTGGTCTTCTTGGTAAGGACCATTGATTTTAATATTCAATCAAATGTCATTCGAAACAAAATAATTTTTAACAAAGTATTTAATGATTATTTAAATTCAAATGTTATGCAATTAAATTTATACTATACTGGAATATAATAAGAAAATAGAAATATTGTAAATGTGATAATAATCATTATTTATGGTATTTTTCTTTATAGTAAATTATAAAATTGAGAATTTAATATTTAAAAACTTTTCTAAATCAAAGTAAATTTTCTTGATATATATATGAATTGTGATATTAATATTACATCAATATAAATATATTATGTATGAGATATATTATAGCACATACATGTTTTTAACATAGTATAACATAAAATTAAATTTGCATGTCATTTTATTTATAATATTAGAAAATTATGCATGTTATAAATATAACACTTTAGATGTTATGATATATAAAATTAAAAAATTATTTATATTTTAATAAAAGAATTAATATTAAAAAATTAATTTTTTAGGTTTTGTACGTTTCTTGGAAGGATATTATATAATTCTGGTTACTAAGCGACGTAAAGTGGCTGTAATTGGTCATCATACAATATATAAAATAGAGGATACTTCAATGATCTATATTCCAAATGATACTATTCGTGTTTTTCATCCTGATGAACAAAGATATGTAAAAATGTTTCAAAGCATAGACCTCAGTAGCAATTTTTATTTTAGTTATTCTTATGACTTAACTCATACTTTACAAAATAATATGACCCCACCAAAACATATTAAACCTGATATTTTTTATACAAATGCCAAAGATTTAAATCAAACAGATAATAGTGATGCTGAAGATGCAGAAGATTTTTTTAATATATGGGCATTTAAAAAAAATTGGAATAATAGGTTTGTTATAATAATCAATGAATAATTTATAAAAATTAAATATTCAATAATATTGATTATCTATATATATATTTTTTCAACAGTACAGAAAAGTATGTTGATTATGGGATACGAAGTAATCCACATCGTCGATTTGTATGGAATTCACATTTATTAAAACCAGTAGAAAAAGATTTGCATCGCGACTGGATTTTATATGTAACACATGGCTTTATTGGTCAATCAAATGTTAGTATTTTTGGAAGATCTATGTATGTAACTATTATTGCCAGAAGAAGTAATAAGTATGCAGGTACCAGATTCTTGAAACGTGGAGCAAACTTTGATGTATATATAATTAAATTATATATATATATATGTATGTATATATGTATGTATATATATTTCAATTATTATTATTGAAAAATAATTTTATTAATGAAGGGAGATGTTGCAAATGAAGTAGAAACAGAGCAAATCGTTCATGATTCTGGAGTAAGTTCATTAAGTAAAGGTCGTTTTAGTTCTTTTGTTCAAATGCGTGGATCAGTTCCTGGACATTGGAGTCAGGATGTTAGTAAAATGGTTCCTAAACCTACCATCACTTGTGATTTAGCCGATCCTTATGTGGAAACAGCAGGTATATGAAAAATAATAAGTTATTATATTATTTAACATATTTTTCTCCAATAGAAATTAAATTTTATCATTAAAAAAAAATTCAGGTGCACATTTTAATCAACTTCTAAGAAGGTATGGTTCTCCCATCATAATTCTCAATCTTGTTAAAAAACGTGAAAAAAAGAAACACGAAAGTACATTAAGTGAAGAATTATGCATGGCTGTTAAATATTTAAATCAATTTTTACCTCCAGAACATCATATTCAATATATAAGTTTTGATATGGCTCGAATGAACAAAAGGTATAGTTATACTTATTTTATACTTTAATAGATAAAAATAGTGAAAGTATAAAATAATAATATAATCCTTTTAGAAAAAAATTTAATGTTATGGCGCGATTGGCAAATATAGCGCATAATGCAGTTTTGAAAACTGGTATTTTTCAATCGCAAAGTCCATATTATAGTCAGAGGAATTTATTTTCTCCTCAATCTAATTATAATAAAAAATATTACAAAATTAATTCAAACATGATTTTCTCATTCAATATGCATGGTGTTCAAAATTATACAAATATTTTAACTGAGAATAATAATGATTCATCTCATGCTTGTGATGTTAGTTCTAAGTTCATTAGAGAGAATAAACATAATGGATTAAATTATGTAGAAAATAGAGTAAGACAATGCTTTGATAAAAGGGGTACATTACAAACTGGTATTATTAGAACAAATTGCGTTGATTGTTTAGATCGTACAAATACAGCTCAATTTGCAATAGGAAAATGTGCTTTAGGATTCCAATTATGCGCCTTAGGTGTATTGGAATCTCCTAAATTAGAATTTGACTCTGATTGTGTAAGAATGTTAGAGGAATTATATGAAGATCATGGTGATACATTAGCATTACAATATGGTGGTTCTCAATTAGTGCATAGGATAAAAACTTATAGGTAAGATTGTATTATATTATATATATATTATATTATATTATATATATATATTATATTTCGATCATAATAGAATCATATATTAATGGTTTGATTTAGAAAAACTGCACCATGGACTAGCCAGGGTAATGATATTATGCAAACTCTCAGTAGATATTATAGCAATACGTTCAGTGATCAAGAAAAACAACATACAATTAATTATTTTTAGGTAAATGTATATATAAACAAGTAGAATCAAAAAAATAAAAATAATAATAAAATTTATATATATATATATATTTTTTTTTTTTGTATATAATATTATTATTATTATAGGTTATTTATACCCGAAGAAGGAAAACCTCCAATTTGGGAACTTCTAACAGATTATTATCTTCATCATAAACCAGCTTGTCATTATTCTCGTAGAACAAAGCTTTTAACTCAGTGGTGGGATAATACTGTGTTAAAGTGTCTTCCATACGCGTTAAATGAAATAACGAAAACATGTTCAGAAATAATACAAGTTCAAAACTCAATGGAAGAAATGATCGATGTTTATTATGATTACCATAGGTATTGAAATCTTATGATGTGAATATAACATTATAATTCATGTAATTCATTTTGAATTATTTTTTTACAGACCATATGAATTATCTTTACTTTCCGAAGTTTACGCATATAAAATTAGTCATTCCGTTAGAGATTTTATGCCGCACTTTACAACTAGTTTCAGTCCATTTATAGTACGAATACGACCAGGTAGAAGAAGAGAAGAAACTGGTAATAAAAATTTAAATATGAAAAATCCTTCAATGACTGGGCAAAGTAGTACCAGTAGTACAACATCAAGTGCAAGGTAATATAAAAAAATCAAATAAATAATTTTTTAAATGCTAATTCTATGCGACGATATTTCAAAGTTCTAGCGATGATTCAAGTTCAGACGAGGATGAAAATCATCAACATATTAATGATTCTCAGTTCATAATTTCGAAAGAAAATTCGGAATTTACATCTTTTGAATCATTATTTCCATCTATGAAAGAAGTGTATGGTACTCAACCTGAATATCCTAAAAGAAATGATGTGATATTGTATAAAAGGTAATAATAATTTAGTTTTATAAACATTGTAGAATATTATTTTAATGTATTTTTAATAGATTTGCATTGATCGGGCGTAACGCAACATATCCTTCAGATTACATGAAAGTACGATTAAAATTAACTCAACAGATATCATTTCCTGAAGCAAAAATTATTGTAATCCAATTACCGACGGTAAAGAAATCTAATATAAATATATACGAGCAATATGTTAAAAGAGCTAAGGTAAGCATAATAAGTTATTACAGTCAATATGCAAAACAATTATACAACATTAAAATGATATATGATATTATTTAGGTAGGTGGTTCTTTACCAAATTCCAATGATATTAATTTGTACGAAAATTATACAAAACAACAGCAGTTATTAAAACTAATATGTCCAAATTAAGTATATGTAATTAAATTGTTTTATTTTTATAAATATATTCATATAAATTAATATATAATAAGGCAATAAAAAAAATTTAATCACATTCTTATGTACGTTTTATTAAAACCATCTTTTAGAGAAGAGATACATTTGTAAAATGAGTAAGTAGAAATTAAGTAGAAGTATATAGTTTACTTCAGTTTCTTCTTTGGTCGAATATTGTTTGTATGCCCACATTTCTTTTTACGACAATTCGTTGCACGTGGATGAAGGCGTGCATAACACTTTCTACAAATCATTTTATCACAGTTATATTTCTGTGCAAGAATTCGTAAAGTAGGTTCAATTACACCACCGCGAAGTCGAAGAACAAGATGTAAAGTGGATTCTGTTTAAAAACACAAGATAATTATTATTCTGAATGATACGAAATGAAAAAAAAAATTTTTCTTAATTTTAAAATCGCCAATACAATACCTTTTTGAATATTATAGTCCGACAAAGTACGTCCATCTTCTAATTGCTTTCCAGCAAAAATAAGACGTTGTTGATCAGGTGGTATTCCTTCTTTATCCTGAATTTTAGCTTTCACATTTTCTATAGTATCTGATGCTTCTACTTCAAGAGTGATAGTTTTACCCGTCAAAGTTTTCACAAATATCTGCATCGTGGTATACCTATTTAAAAGAAAGATCGTACACTTAATAAAAAATCATAACGAGAAGTAAAGAAATACAAAATTACACATTATTTACTAGGCAAGATCGTTAAGATGACAATTAATTTTTTATATTTCCAATTTCTTAAGTATCTATGATTTTTTAGTGTTAAGTTTAATAAAATATGTAGAAGTGACTAGAAAATTTCACAACAGACATTTCGTTTATAAACGTGTGTTCTAGCAACGTATCGTACTGCAGTTGTTTTTGAAACCCTTTTGTTTAATTGTTCGATTATATAATATTTCATCAATAAACGATATTAATTTAATTTACAGACAATTTATACGTTATAAGAAGATTTTAGATCATAAAGTCTCTAAAAGATATTGAATTCTTACCGTTATAAAAACGTGCACGCCACGAAAACAACCTCAAAAGACTTTGCAATGGCAGCACTGTAACTTCCGTTTACACAGAGTCGATATACTAGCCCTCTTGTGGTGAATAATTTTACTATTTCAAAAAAAATATGAGTAGAATTTATTTACTGTGTTTTATATAAAGTGTGTAATTATTGAAAATTTATTTCATTAGTGCAAATTTGAACGAATGTTAACTCATTGTGAATATTGTTAATAACTGGTGATTCATTATTTATCTTTATGAAAATTATAAAAATATTCAATTTTATTAAAATGAAATGTAAATATAATGTAAGTACATGTGATAAATATCAGAGAATTTATTATATTATTTATAATATTTATTAATAAATTATTTATAATTTATATTTATATTTATTATAATCAGAGAATTTCTTAAAAAAGATATATGTATAAGATTTATATGTATGAAACATCAATAGTTTAATGACTTTCAATTCTATCTTTTGAAAATGTTTTTTATATTTTATGTGTATAAAGCTATATATATATCTAGGTTGCATTACGAACACATGTGTGATATATGATGATATATGATGTATACGTACATATTATAGTCAATATATATATATATATATATATATATTATTTTCTTTAAAAAAAATAAGATCATGGCTTAAATCACGATTATAGATGCAAATTTCAATGATAAATTTTGACTTAAAATTCATTAAAATTATTAAAGTAAAATTAAGTTATTAAATTTTATATCATAATTTTAATATTGAATAGAAATAATTTATTACTCTATTTATTCATAAATAGGATAAATTTGTCATACAATTCGTCGAATTTTTTTTAGATATATTTTCTGTTTTTCGCAGATATATGTGCTCTGGTGAATGCGTTCTATAAATTCGAATGAGTTTTGCAATACTCTAAAGAAGCATAAGAAGCTTTATGATATTCTACCATCTCGAATGCTTTTGCATTCATTGAACGAGAATCTCTTTATATTACCATTTTTATCGTGAGGCGACACGTTATAATAAAAAGATAGATAAGAAGAAATATGGAGAAAAGTAACGAAAATCTAGTATAAATTTGATGAAAGTAACGCGTATGAATCATGAAATCATTGATACGATTCGATTATTACGTTCTACACGCCACGTTGATTTTTGAAAACAGAATGCCTCTTAGAAAATGGAATTTCTGTTGACAGTAATACAGTTTAGATGTAAACTATGTATGTATGCTTAGTAGATGAAATCGAGTAAACAACAAGCTTACTTTTATAATCCGTTCTGAGATTGCCTTATTGAGTGGTTTCGGTTTTTGTATAACGTTATTGAGAAGTTGTAAATCTCCATCGAAGTTTGTTATCGAAGTTTCCTCATTATAAATCCGGTGGTCGTTTTCTATATCGCAGCGAACACATCTCAATTCGTTGCATTGATCAACCGTGTTGTAGGAAGTTGTTTCGAGTTGTTGAACTCTGATAAAGTTAACCAGAATCTCAAGGCTATTGTGGAAATTGAACGGTAACTGGATTTAGGTTTAGATGGACCAGCTATGGTTGATAATGCGAATTAGAATGTTTTACGATTTATACGAGCAAAGGGAATGATACATAAAAAATACATAAAAAATAAAATTGTTACGATTGATTACGATATCATTTCATTGGATTTTAAATCCACGTAAGTAGATGGAACTTTTGTTTCGATTGCCTGCAAATAAATCATATTAGAAATTAATCAATTTGCATTGTTCATCCAAAGTTAAACTTACTTACTTATGTTAAATTTTAATTATAAATCATGCAAAATCAATACATTTTGAGATTTAAAATTATATCAATTGTTCAAATTTTTCAGGATAAATGCTATTTAATTATATGGAATAAAAGAAGGAATTTTTTTCATTAACTAAACGTGATATCAGTAAATTCTATAAATTTACTATTAATTTTAGATTCATTGATCAATGAACTCTAATTACGGCTAAGAAGCACAACGACCTTGTCATGTTCGACCCGAAATCGTATCGTGTCTCTAATATTCGCAATTAGCTTTTATTTACGGATTATTGTGGTACATTACAATCGATAATTCGGGATATTTTAATCTAATATTTATCTTTCCTTCCGAAGTTGACGTCCAACACAAATTGCATCATCACCCGATGTCATCGTTTCTGAACGCAGTTGTGACTGCAAATGCTGCTATGACACTCGACCACTTGTCCATTAGTGGATCTCTGTATTCCATGTTCAGACGCGATTTCCATTTACATACGCTTATCCTCGAAGGTATGAATTAAACACTTTATGCATCAATTCTAGAAATTTTGAACGAATGATCAATCGAACTGAATAGAAAATACGTTTCTATCGATATTGTTCATGATTCTCCTATAACAAAATCATGTATTTTATATATATATATATATATATATAGAATAATTAATAATAAATCATTTGTAGATATCACTGATGATGACAAACAACAATTTACTCTCGCGTCGAATAAAATATTCTTTTCTCTGTTTATTCTAACTATCATTGGATATTATTTCATCTCTGTACTTTTCTTCAATTGCCCCTGTAATTAATATTTTCCCGTTTCTTCGTATAGAAAATGATTCTCAACATCATTCATTTCGTTCTAAATACGCTATCGTTTATTGTCAATGATTTGTTTTCAGGCATCTATTATATTCGTGATAAATATTTGGTATGAAGAGTCTATTGGATGCGAGGATTTGTCGGTGTCTTTATTCCAACTGCAAAAAGATGAAAGAAAGTAATAATGGAAAAGCCCGACCGAGTTAGTAAGATCATTAAACTGCAGGGGTCGATATACAGGCTAAAATTGGAATCTAACTCTAAGGTGAACTCGTTCAACTATAGTTAACCTTTCATGACACTTTGACCTCTACTCGTATACGCTTTTATCGAAGAATGCGCAAACCCTGGTTTCTGGATCGAAAATCGAATTATCGATTACGCCGAGCCTAACTTTTCTACCCTTCCACCTTTTATTCTTTTTGCCTCTTTTCGTCTTCTACTTGGCGTCCTCTCTTCGCGTCCTTATTCTACCAACAGACTCCATTTTTCGTCCAAAGAGAATTGGAGAAGTGCAATTAAAAGTTGTTACGAACATGAAACGAGGTTTAATCGTCGTTGTGCTTCTTAGCCGTAATTAGAGTTCATTGATGAATGAATCTACCCTCTTTTATCTCGAGCCTCGATCTAGCTTTCGAGTCTTCGTATATAATTTATTATCTTATATCTATTCGAGGTTAAAATTTCATCAAGTGTTATTTAACATCGAGTCGAAGCCAATCTATTTATCCTTTGTCGAGCTATTACTCGGATATATATATATATATATATATATATATATATATATAGTAA